GAGTCAAGCTATTCTCCAAAGCCCCTGAAGGCAGGACAAGAAGCAATGGATGGACACTAATCAACCTGGAACTAAGGAGAAATTTCCTTACAGTGAGAACAATTAATCAGTGGAACAACTTGCCTCCACAAGTTGTGAATGCTCCTTCACTGGTGGTTTTCCAGAAGAGATTGGACAACTATTTGTCTGAAATGGTATACGGCCTCCTGCTTGAACAGGGGGTTGGACTAGAAGACCTCCAAGTTCCCTTCCAACTCTGTTACTCTGTATTCTGATTATTTCACAACAGCTTGGAAGTCCATGAAGAGATCAATGGTTGAGTTTCATCACTGTTTTTTGAACAAGCTCCATTGCCCAAACATTACAAACTAAGATCTTGTGTCCAACTCCACAAGGAAGAGATGATACCTTTATAGGAATTATAACAGGAATTGAAGGCAAACACTGCACTTATCGTGCGATAAGGGCTAAAATTCCAGCATCTCCAACCGGCATGATCAAGGAGCTCCTGAATGAAGAGAGGGCCGGGCTACCTGACCTCACAGATCCCTTCAGGTTTTGCGGTTTGATGAGCAATCCTGAAGCAGCTGCACTGTCAACAGAGAGCTAAGTCCTTAATGCCATAAAAGCATTAAGGTGGCAAGCAGGAGAAGGAGGGAAGGGAACGGAACAAGAAGCAGTTCATGCTAGCTCACAAAAGAGCTCAAGCTGCCGTTGCTCATTGTCTTATAGACAACAGTGAGAGAAATCTCCCCAATAATTAGCTCCTTTGCAGCAAACTGACAGATTCTTTCTTTGTTGGGCTAATCTATGGGGGCTTCGTGTTCTTTATAGGCAAGGCAGCTTAGGTGTTAAACTTTGGCTTTCTGTTCATTCCCTTTTTGAAGTGCAATGCTCCTCTGGGGACACACAACTGTGCAGATGAGGGACACCAGTCAAGGACCCATGTCTGGAAGATGCCGAACCAGGATCTGAAACCTGGACATTTGGCAATCAGGTCTGCAAGCATATTTAGTGCACGGGAACCCCGTTTCTGAATATAAACACATTGGCTTCATGGCCACCATCAGTGGTAGAAGGGAGAGGGGTTACCAGACAGAGCAAACCACTTGTAAATAATCAGACAACCTTGAAAATATACGGAAGACCTTTGGGTGAATTATATTGTGATTTCCTCAAACAGTTTTGGAAGGATTTTTTTCTGGTTCATCTTAGGTTCCCCAGCATGAGAAAAAGAAAATAGTCATTGCCTTGTGAGTCCTGGATGCTGTCTGAGCTGGGTGGTTTTCTTACAGATGTTTCATGACCCAGCTAGGTAATATCATCAGTGCTAGAAGGAACTGTATATAAACAGAGAGCAAAAGCTCATGCTTTTGATTATTACCTAGTTGGGTCATGAAACGTCTGCAAGAAAGTCACCAAACTCAGAGAGCACCAAGGACTCCACAGTCCTCCTCCTCCTCTCCATACATCCCACTCCCTTGGGGCACTGATGATATTACCTAGTGGGGTAATGAAACGTCTGCAAGAAAACAACCAAGCTCAGACAGCACCAAGGATTCCACATCTTCTACCTGCTCCTAATCTTGGCACTGAGAAACCCAGAAAATACAAGCCACATAAAAATTAAGGATGTCACCACACTATCTAGTTTGATGACTAGCCAAGCACATCAGAGAGAAATAGCTCTGGAAATCAGATACAAGTAACAGCTTGCTTATCTGATGAAATCAACACTTGCTACAGTTTTATTATGCAAGATTCTACACCGGCTTCTACGAATATAAGCCTAAAGACACTGAATCTCCCTCACCTGGATATTGAAGTCAGCATTGTGATAGAAGTGGACACAAGTTTCTTTATTGTTTTCCTGCACCATGGATTACATTGACAAGCCACCTTAGCTCCCTTCTTAATAATAATAGTAATAATAAAGTTGGAAGGGACCTTGGAGGTCATCGAGTCCAACCCCCTGCTCAGGCAGGAACCCTATACCATTTCAGACAAATGGCTGTCCAGTCTCTTCTTAAAAACTTCCAGTGTTGATCCCAACCAACCAGAAATGCGAGGTGTCTGGCATTGGGAAGGAAGGGTGATTCCTGGTATAATTTAGAATCTGAATTGTACTGGAATTTGAGAGTCCAGGAATGAAGGAAAGAACTGAGCCAACGAGAAGAAAAGGGAAAGATGAATTGGGCAGCGTTGCCAAAACCTCTTACGACAAACCAAGAAGAGTTTCAACTCAGTTCCGGTAACATACGATTTGTCCGTAAGTCATACCAAAGCCTCTTGTGGATAGCTGAAACATCTTGCAACCCAAGCAGCTTCTGCATTTCCAGCCAAAGTATTTTCTCTTTTGTTTTGGTGTTTTGGAAGCAAAACCAACCTTACTCCCTCCGGGAGCCATTAACATATTGTCTTGGAACACGCTGTTTATTAACTTCATCCCCAAAGCTGCCAAGGTATTAAAAAGCTCATCCATTTAGTCTGAAACTTTTGATGGAATATCTGCACTCTTCATACTGACATTTCTACAAAGGGTAATTTAGTAGCACAACAATGCAAGATCCACCGAATAAATAAGGCAGGGAAAAGTAAGCGTAAGGATGTTTCAAATGAACGGCAAATCTCACGGTTTATTTTCTCATGCTTAATTTGAAAGGGACTGATCTGATAAACACAGAAGACTATGACAAGGAAATTTAGATACTTTCTACAGTCTACTGATATCAAAGGGAAGAAATACCCAAGGCCCGCATTTGTGCCCACTGAAATAAACTTGGTTTAACTCTCAATAGAACTTGTCGATTATGTAGCGTGCTTATAAATGATGGCTGATAATATTAAAATGTGTTACAGGGGTTGGACTAGAAGACCTCCAAGGTCTCTTCCAGTTCTTCCAGGTCCCTCCCCCCTAATCACATCCTAACCCAGTCAGATCCTTTTACCAGAGGGGCTGGAAGCACATACTCCTTCCATCAAAAATTACTATTTTAGAAGGCAGAAGAATTCTCTATCTAACATGAGAATTCTAAACCTTGAAGTTGATAATGAAAGAACTGATATGAAGGGATAATTAGAGAGATCTAGGATCATGGAATATTGTAATCCAGTAAAACCACTGGGCAATGGGAAACATTTCAGTTCATTCACCATATGATTTTATTTCTTTATAAAGCTGCTAAGTTGCCTATTTTACAAGCAACAATCCTAGAGAGCTCGCAACAAAGCCGAAAAGACAAAGGGGGTAAGCAATAATTAATTCATTAAATTTAAAGCTCTCTATATTTCCAAAACCTCCAGATGTGTCTGCTTAAGACACCACCAAGGACAAGATGGCATATAATAAGGGCGAGAAAAACGATTTATCCTTGAAAGGAAGAAAAATATATATATTTGTACTTGCACATTATCGGACTTTTGACGAAATCATGGAAAAGCTCAAAGACAAAAGATGATTTAAAAAACCCCGAGGAATGTAAATATATATATTTTTTATTAATCAACTCAAGTTTAAGTTGATTAATCTACCAATTACACTGATGAAAGGGCCGGCTCTGTCTTGCCCTGTTACGAAGGCAAAATTTAAGGGTCATTTCTCTTGCGAAGGAAATAAAGACGCTATAAATGCCAGGTTCACTTTAATAATACATGCTGCGCGCTGCGCCCAACATCTGCAAAAATGGAAAGCAGAAACACACACACGCGCGCACGCAGCCACACATCTTGACACCTCGGTGCTGCAGCTTATTGTTCCTTAAGTGACGGAAGGTTTAATCAAGGAAACATGCAATCCATCACTTGGAACGAGGCAGACTGTGTGGGTCTGACAGCCTGCACATGGCTTTATACAGTGGGAAAACCTCACCACCTGTCAGCCACTAACCTTTTACACCAGGATCCGAGATACAAGCTTTATTCCCTTTCCCTCCCTCTCCCCAATGAGATTCTCCTTTATTTTGGCACCGTCCCCCGTTATTGGCAGGGACAGAGGAACGAGGGCTGTTGATGCGCTGTCGCCGAGAATTTATGCCCCCTTAAAGTGACTTATCTCTCCTCCCAACTTCTGTTATTAGAAACCATCTACTTCTCCTTCTGCTTGGTGAAGTTCTGTTATTATCAGAAGAACAGAATTAGAAGGGGCCTTGGAGGTCTTCTAGTCCAACCCCCTGCTTGGGTGGTCCTTGGGTAAAAATGATTCCTGCCCTCTGCTCTTCCTTTTCTCTAGTTGCCCTTGTGGTGCTGACCTTCTGACTCAATGCCGCCCTTCAGAAGAAGTTGTGAGAGGTGTGGATGGAGTAGTTCTTCCTCGTGAACTCTAAGATCAGCAGGTCAGAAGATTATTGGATCTTCTTGAGAACCTTGACCTCTTCTCTCAATGCCCCATCATACGGTCAAGAATCCAGTCTGAAGATGGACTGTTGTTGAGAAGGACTACTTAACTGACCACCTGACCAACAAGGTAAGGCTTCAGAAGAACCATTCGTCTTTACAGTGTGGGCACGCCATCTCCCCCCCCCCCAAGGCCTACAGAAGTATTACAGGTCGTCCTCAACTTACAACCATTTATTTAGCGAACGTTCGAAGCTACAACAGCATTGAAAAATGTGACTGGTGACTGTTTTTCAGACTTGCAAGCGTTGCAATATCTCCTGATCGAAATTCAGACGCCTGGCAACTGACTCGTGTTTATGACGGTCACAGGGACATGTGATTTCCCCTGTGCTGGACCTTCTGACTAGCAAAGTCAATGGGGAAGCCAGGTCAACTTAACAGCCGTGTGACGAACTTAACAACTGCAGTGATACGCTTAACAAAGTTGGCAAGAAAGGTCATTAAAAACAGAGCAAAACTTGCTTAATGACTGTCTTGCTGAAATCTGGGGCTCAATTTGGCAAACTGAGTGTTGTTGTTGTGAAGGGAGATCAGTTGTTTCTTGCCCGAAGTGACAAAGCTACACCCAAGGGCGTCTCTAGGAAGCAAGGAGATCTGTTACTTACCTGAAATGGCATATAAATTGGAGTGCTGGTACTCAAAGTCTGGCCGAGTGCCGTGGCCTTTCCCTCGAAAGCTGGCGGGAAGTGTCAACGATATATGTCTAGAGAGAAGAGGCAAAAGAGCAGACTTGACCTTCAAGAACAACCATCCCAAATTAGGGAGACAGGGATGCTTCGACAGATCGTCTCGCCCAGCTGGGTGACCTTCCTTGGACCAGTCACTCTCCCTCAGCCCTAGGAAGGAGACAACGGCAAACTGCTCCTGAAAAATCTTGCCAAGAAAACTGCAGGGACCAGCCCAGAACTGGACATGATTGAATGGAAGAAAAACAAACAAACAAAGAAGTTGGGTTATCAGGAGCTTAAGTAGAAGATGACTTGACTTTGCTATAATAGAACCAGTTTGGTTTAGTGGTTAAGGCACCAGACCAGTGGCTGTGAGTTCTAGTCCTGTCTTAGGCATGGAAGCCAGCTAGGTGACTTCGGGCCAATCACCAGGAGACTGGGAATTCTAGTTCTGCCATAAATATGAAAAACTGGGTGACTGTGGGCCAGTCACCAGGAGATGGTTAGTGTTAGTCCTATCTTAGGCAGGGAAGCCAACTGGGTGACTTGGGCCAATCACCAGGAGACTGGGAATTCTAGTCCCACCTTAGGCATGAAAACTGGCTGGGTGACCTTGAGCTAGTCACTCTCCTTCAGTCCAAAGCACCTCACAGGATTCTTGTTGTTGTTAAAGTAAGAGGAGGTAGGTGTGTTGGATATGTTTGCCACCTTAAATTATTTGTAAAAATAATAAAGACGGGATGCAAACAAACAAGCAAGTGATCTTAAACCTGTCCTAATTGCTGGCATGAATTGACTTTACACAAATACAAGCATGAGCCAGATACGGATCCTAAACTTATTACTGCTGCCAGCTACGTCTCCTGCTGGTATATTTTAAAAAGTCACATTTTATAATCATTTTTAAGACTATAAACAGGGAGATTTTTCCTTCCGTGCCACTCAGAAACCCAAAACAACCTAATTTACTGGGAGGCAAAAAGATTAATATAACCCCCGAGTTCCTGAATGCAGACTGTTAAACGCCAACAGCTTGGCAGCATATGGCAAATCAATTACTACTTTCAATTTTGAAAGTCATATTCACACATGCGCATTTAATAAATAAATAAACAAACAAAAAACAAACAAATAAATAAATAACAGCTCCTGAACAAAAGTGGAGAAGAGGGAAGGGAGAAAGAAATGGTGAGCAAGAGGGAAGAACAACTGGGGAACAATAACACAGCTGAGATGAACGGAGGCCGCTAGAATCTGGAATATAATTAATCATCATTTCAAGCAGCAAGGAGCCATATTGACACGGGCCTCGCATTTGAATGTGTAATTAGGGTGACGTTCTTCATCAAATTATATATATATAAAAAAGAGAGCTGGGGAAGGAGGGAGGGGCTGGGAGGGGAGAAACTAGAAAAGTCTTCCAATTCAAGCCATCACTAACTATGATGACTAATTTCGAGACGGTTCAGGTTAGCTAGGCCATTCTGGAGAAAGTTTATCTCAGAAATTATTCAGCACTTAAGTGGGGGAATAAAAATGGCAGATGAAGACAAGTAAAGCCCAAAATTGCATCATTTCAGAGGTCAAGATCTTGAGTCCTGCTCAACTCGATGTGTAGCGAGGTCCAAGCTGGGGAAAAGTAACCTAAATCTTGCACTGACGAGTCAACGTAACACAGCCAAATCTACATTTAACAGACTATTGAGGCAGAAATGTCTGTAAAATCTGAAAACATATCATTTAGCCGATTCAACTGGCAAGCAAAATTCTTTTTGATTTTTTCCCCCCAGCTTTTCATTATATTTGGTCCTTTAAAATCTGAACTCTCTGCTCTCAACTGCTAGTTTTCTATTATTGTTATTATTAGTAACAGTGGTAACAGTAGTTGTATACTATTAGTAACACTGTTTAAAAAGTTTCCATCTCTTAGGGGAACGCTCTTTGCCATCACCCTATCTTTAGACATATGAAAGCATTTTAGTTCAGTGATTTATTATTAGGATTCTACTTTTCTCCTGTCTTTTATTTATATTTCCATTTGTAGATGATAGATAGGTAGGTAGGTAGGTAGGTAGGTAGGTAGGTAGGTAGGTAGGTAAGGTAGATAGATAGATAGATATGGATAGATGGGTGGATAGAATCAGGTGGATAGAAGAAATTTATTACTATAATTCTATTTTTATTCTGCCTTTTATTTGTATTTGGATGGATGGATGGATGGATAGATAGATGGATGGATGGATAGATAGATAGATAGATAGATATGGATAGATGGATGGAATCAAGTGGATAGAAGAAATTTATTACTATAATTCTATTTTTATTCTGCCTTTTATTTATATTTGTATTTGGATGGATAGATAGATATAGATAAAGATAGACTATAGATAGACAGACAGATAGAATGAAGAGTGATATAGATATATAAATATATAGATAGCTAGACATAGCCAGTCAATTCCAGAAAATAATAGTACAGCAGTATATGACCAACCTAATTTTATCCCTTTTTTGTGGCGGTTGTTGAGTAAATTAATTGCTCACTACAGGTCGGTTCTGCCAAAAACATGCTGGTTTTCCACAAAAACATTCCCCACTGAGGTAAAATGTGGTCATGTGACTGTGGGATACGGTCAGTGGCTGTAAATGTGGGCTGGTTAACGAGCACCTGACATGCAGTCATGTGACTGCGGGGGGGGAGGGAAGGGTGGCAGCTGTTGGTCATAATTACCTCAGGGAGGTCCGTCAGACTTCTGAACTGTTGCTAAGCAACCGGTCATAAGCTGAGAACTATCTGTATTTTTAACCCCTCCCTGGACGTATCATCAGCCAAATCCGGCCTTCATCTTAAGAGCTTTCCGAATTTCTTTTTATTTATTTATTTATTTTATTAATAAAGCTTTCTGAATGTCTTGCTGCATGTGAGAGCCATTGAAAGAGGATTGGGGGGCGGGGGTTAAGCAAAAAAAAAAAAAAGCAGATATTTAAAAAATAAAAATAAAAAATAAAAAAAGGAAAAAGGCAATGCCTTTTAATGAGGAACAATAAAAAGCCAATCTCTCTGGAGCCGTAATTAGAGGAAATTAATTGAAGTTGTGTTTTGACACCGTCGCTGAATGCGCCGGTGATATGTGACACGTTCGCGACTCTGCCCACTGCACCACGCTGCCGCCTGACGGGGGGAGGGGGAGTGGGGGGGGCAAAGGCATGGCAGAGGACTCCCCCCCTCCCTGCCACTTGCAATGTGTGGTGGTTCCGCAGCCGGGCTATTCCCTCCTGTCCTACTCCGGCGAGTAGGCAAACTTAGCCCTGAAAAGAGATTAACAATTAATTACTAGGACTTGGAGAGAATCTCTAATGCTGGAAGACTGGGGGGGGAGGGGGGAGGCAGGGAGAGGGAGCTCATTAATATGAGCAAATGCCAATTAATTCTCCCCACCAGCGGCTGAGAAAGAAGTAACGCATCACATTCCCCCCCCCCCCGTCAGCATTCAAATGACAGCACAGGAAGGTGTTTAATCTAAGAGGAAGAAGAGAAACAACATCTCTCTCTGTGTGTGTGTGTGTCTATATGGGTGGGTTGGTGTGTGCGTGTGTACATGTGTGTGTTCCCATCTCCCTTCCATAAATTGGGGGGGGGGGGAAGACCAGGGCAAAGGGATGACCAAAGAAGGCTCTCCCGCAGCTTCTTCTCACTTGCAGACAAAATGGAAGCTGCCTGATCTTTGGGTTCTGCTGCTCTTTGGTGTAAGCGGAATACCAGGGTCGGAGGGAAGCCCAACTGACTTCTCTTCTCCTACCAATAAATCGGTCACCGTCATCTCTCCTGCTTAAGAGTTGAAGAATGGAGGTGGTGGGGTGGAGGAAGTGAGGGTGGATGGGTGAAAAGGAAGAGGAGGAGGAAGAAGAGAAAGAGAGAGGAAGATAGGATGGAGAAAAGAGAAGGGGAGGAGGAGGAGAAAAAAAGAAAAAGGAAGGAAGGAAGGAAGGAAGGAAGGAAAAGAAAGGAAGGAAGGGGAGGAGGAAGAGGAGGAGGAGGAAGAGAAAGAGAGGAAGATAGAATGGTGGAGAAAAGAGAAGGAAGAGGAGAAGAAAAAGAAAAAAGAGGAAAGAAAGAAAGAAAGAAAGAAAGAAAGAAAGAAAGAAAGAAAGAAAGAAAGAAAGAAAGAAAGGAAGGAAGGAAGGAAGGAAGTGGGGAGCAGGAGAAATAAGAACAAATAAGGAGAAAAACAAATAAGAGGAGGAGACAGGAAGAGTAGGAAGGAGAAGATAAAGAGAGGAGGAGAAAAAAAGAGAAAGAGGAGATCTGTCTCAGTAACAGGACCCCAAAATTTCCCTCCATGTTAGGTAGGACAAGGTGTCACCTCTTTTCCAATTCCTAGCCTGCTTGTCATTGATTGATGCTGCCCATTCAAAAAAAATTAAGTATAATGTCCTAGCTGTTACTAGAGCTGAGAAAGGAAGACGAATACAGACACAGATGGGTGATAAATAGGGTAGACATAGGAGTGTAAGATGTTGTGAGGGGATTTTGAAACTGGGTGTTTCTGAACTTAGGAATTTAGTTCGGAGACTTCAAAGTGGCCATAGATAACAGCCAAGTGGGGAATTATGCTTCAAAAACCCTCTTTTTCAGTCCTTGCTTGAAAAGACTGTTGACTTAGGTTCATCTGGAAACCATCGTTGGCAAGGAGGAATGAAAAGCCCATATCTCACCTGGGCAGGTTGGCAGCTGGTGTGGTGGCTGGTGCTTGTGGAGAAGGTGTGGTAGGCTGAGATGATTCATGATTTCGAGGGACCTTCCCCATCCGATACCAGATCCCCATGTTGTTCAATTCCCTTTCCATCAAAGAGAGAAAACAGTAAGATTCCTTCAACACAGAACATAAAATAAAGTAATAGGTTCAAAGCGACCTTAGAGGTCTTCTACTCCAACCCCCTGCTCATGTAGAAGACCCAAACCATTCCAGACAAATGGTTGTCCAATCTCTTCCTTAGAAGCTCCAATGTTGGAGCATTCACAACTTCTGGAGGCAAGCTGTTCCACTGATTAATCGTTCTCACTGTCAGGAAAATCTTCCTTAGTTCTAGGTTGCTTCTCTCCTTGGTTAGTTTCCATCCTTTGCTTCTTCTTCTAACCTCTGGTGCTTTGGAGAATAGGTAGACGCCCCCTTCTTTGTGGCAGCCCCTCAAATACTAGAACCCCGCTATCATGTCAGCCCTAGTCCTTCTGTTTGTTACACTAAACATACCTAGCTCCCTCAATCATTCATCATATGGTTTACTGAGTTGGAAGAAGACACAACAAAAGACTCTTAGAACTGGTTTAGAAATGAGACAAGAGGTCCCACTGGAGAGGAAATCGGTCATCTGAAAAAAAGTCAAGTGAAAAGTCCTGAAAAACAAAAACACCTCCATACCCGATATACGTATATTGTTGAGGAGTTTGTTTGCCTCGGCCCAGTATGCGGACATCACAAATGGCGGCCTCTGTAGAATCCCGGGGGATAAATTTAATGCACAACCTCTTTTTCCGAAAAGCAGTTTCTTCTGAAAAAGACAGTGCGGGTTTAAAAGCTTACTCTTCTCTTTACAAGTAGTTGAAGGCTTAGAGGAGAGGAGAAACAGACAGACACAAAGAACGAGAACAGTAATTGCTTTGAACTTTCCCAGTTTCTCCTTCCCACTCCCCTGGGATCTTTCCATCTCCAAGCCTTCTGGTCAAGTTGTAGAGAACGTCTATCCCTGGACCATGCAGAGACCCGACTATCTGGACCTTTAAAACATGGTTGAACCTCTGCCGAAGGGAAATGCAAATTGTGGACTCAGTATATGGTGTCAATCCTAAAGAAAAAATGCTATCTGAGAGAGGAGAGGGCAAGATTACAACTCTTGAACATCCAGCTACATTGGATGAAGCTCACATTGGTTCCAGCTGTGGTGATTCCTTATTATGTGTGAGGGGAATTTCATCCAGAACTTCTCAGAAAGCACCAATCCTCATGGCAAAATGTTGACCAAGATGTTTCTATAGTTCGGGATTTTTTTTAGCTTCCCCCCCCCCCAGAACCTCAATCTTTCACCTCCTCCCTTCTCTTCTCTCATCTAGTCTGGATTTTGATGTGTTGATCTTCAACTAAAACCCAACAATAGGGATGCAGGTAGGATTCAACTCAATCCATAGCTGGTGCTTCAAAGAATCCTCTCCCTGGTTGAATGTAGAGAGGATCCGATCACTAACTCTACTTACGTGTATCCATAGTTTCTTGAATTGGGATGAAGCCGACGGGCAAAGTATCTTTTATGTCTATGAGTTTCATGTCAACCAAGACATTTCCTAAGTGACTCTGTTGGAAGAAAGGCAGAAGACTCAATGGCCGCCAAATAGTGGAGAATTCGGGCAAAGTTAAACCACCCAGATACACAGAAACAACATTCCCACAAGACCATTAATCTGATGACTCCATTCATCCGGTCAATAAGATTATTGTACAAACACAATCCATGTATCCAGACTTTCTCACAAATCATCCCTGCTCATCTGAGCTTCAGTTCAAGTTGGGGTGCTGGATCAAGAGGCGTGGCTTTGGAAGATTAAATCTTGGATAAGACAGTTATTCGAGTATTGGCAAAGAGACTGGAATGATCAGAAACATACATTCAATCATTCAATCAATCAAATCTGTATTATGGTTATAGACCAGCATAAACCAGACTGTGACATTTGCTTAAAATGCCTGTATTTGGGAGATCACTACCAAATTCCACAATGACCTAAGCCCATGTTGCACACTAGCAATGGCCATTAAATTTAGTAAAACTAAGCAGATTGATTAGGCAACTGATGAAAAAAAAAGGGAAGCTCCCATAGTAGAGCATGTCTGTCTATTTGTCTGTCTGTCTTAAGGGTTGAACTGTGGGGTGTTCTCTGAGCTGCCTGTCACTACTAGGCTAGACAGCATCACTGGAGCAAAGTTCATCCTCACATGCACTCAGCCTGGTCCTGAAATGTCTAGAAGATAGCTCAAGAGAACATCAAGAGAACATTTTTTAGCTGTCATCCAATGGTCCTGTGGACATCCGCAGTTCCGTTCTTGTAGCCCTTCAAAAGCTTTTTCTGCTTCAGAACTATGGAGATGTGGGTTTACAGACATTCTTCTAAGGTGGGACTGGCTCCCTTGAAGTTCTAAAAGAAGGGAGGGGACCAGAATTGGTTGCAGAGACCAGGTTAGTCCTGCAGTCAGTGGGAAAGAGGTTTGGTCCATCCCTGGTGATCTTCAGACCCCCTCAGAAGGAACATTTGGAACCCACATCTTTCCAGAGGCTCCTCTTTCCAAAATTACGAAGCATGGAAACAGCTCCAGTTTTATGAAAACACCACCGTAGAGAAAAAAAAATACACAGCCAGAGAAAATCCTTATCTGAGCATAAAAGGCATACATCCAGTTTGCTAATCAGCTTCATTTTTGAAGCTTGGCCTAAAAAGTCCAGAAAGCAAAGCAAAATGGGAAAAAAATGGGGTCGGGGGGGGGGAAGAGGCGATCCTCCATGCCAAGTTGGAACAAGGAACCCTGCTTTGAATCCAAGCAAACGTCGTCCCTTATTAATTAAGGGCTGGAGAAGAATCCGTGTTCTACAGCAAAGCTTTCATGCTCACATTTCATAACATTTCCATCAGAAACCGTATCTGGGATCTCCCTTGTTCTGACAGTCATACAAGTAGAGGCCTATCATCCTGTGTCAGCACGGAAACATGTTTTGCTTGAGGGCGATTGGAAGGAGAGAAATGGATTTTGCATTTCCCCCGAAGAATCTTGGCACAGGGGACCAAAGAGAATGTGAATAATGGGGCACAAATCTGACTAGGAACCAAAAATTTTATGTGTGTCTGCCTTTGAGTCAGCCTCAACTTCTGGCAACTCACAGACAAGAACATACAGCTTTCTTGGCAACATCTTTGGGGTGGGCTTCCTAGGACCCAGGGAGGACTAGCTCTGCCTCCCCCAGGGAACTTCCATGGCTGAGAGGAGACTAGAACTTGGATCTCTGGGCTGCTAGTTCAGCAACTTTCAGCATTGTCCCATGAAGCGTTCATCATTATGACTCTGGCTCTTGGACTGAGAGACAAGGACCAGCCCAAAATCAGGCAGCTGGCTTTGGTGCCTACAGCAAGAGCAGAACTCATGGGCTTCTGATCCAAGCTCAGAGTCTTCTGCCTCCTGACCTCCTGCTTCTCATGAGTCTTCTGGCTTCTCATGGTCTCCTGGCTTCTAATCCAGGCTCAGGCTTCTGGCCTATAGCCTCCTGCTTCTTATGGTGTCCTGGCTCATGGTCTCCTGGTTTCTCATGGTCTCTTGGCTTCTAATTAACTCATGGTCTTCTGCCTCCTGCTTCTCATGAGTCTTCTGGCTTCTCCTGGTCTCCTGGTTTCTAATCCACTCATGGTCTCCTGGCTAATGATCTCCTAATCCAAGCTCAGTGTCTCCTGATTTCTAATTCAAATTCATGACCTCCTGACTTTTAAATCCAGGGCCTTAACCACTAATCCAAACTGGCTCTTTAGGAACCAGTTATATTAATAGTTAATGCACAAAACACTCTCTCCTTCAACCTTCCCACTATCCTAACTCCAAAAAGCAGTTGGACTTAGAGCTTCATCACCGAGGAAGAATTCAAAACGTGTTTTCTTTGATCCTACTTCAACCCCTTCATAGTTACACCACGCTGATTAGCGGACCAATTTGCCTAGTTACCTACAGTGAGTCAAATGACAGGGTATCAGGCAAGGGAACTTGGCAAAAACATGCATGAATGTTTTTTTCTTTCTTTCTCTCTCTCTTCCTTATTTTCTTTAGAATATCAGACAACAGACCTAAGTTTGGACTTTAAGAAAATGTTTGGGCCAAAATAAGCAAGTCACTTACATTCTCTTTGGAGAAAGTCCGTGTGAAGCACAAATATCGTGTGACCTTGGATTTGAACAAGCCATCCTTCCAAAGATCAGCATCTAGGCCATCTGCGGTTTGTGCAACCTGGGGGAAAAAAGAGAAAGGGAAGGGTCAGGTCATCTGTCCATCCGTCCGTCCATCCATCTCGTCTGTCTGTCTGTCTGTCTGTCTGTCTGTCTGTCTGTCTGTCTCTCTCTCTCTCTCTCTCTCTCTCTCTCTCTCTCTATCTATCTATCTATCTATCTATCTATCTATCTATCTATCTATCTATCTATCATAAAATCTGTTCCTGCTGGTAAATTCTACTTTCCTTTACAATGTTTTCTGCCTGGAAAGATAAGTGAAAAACCCTGAAAAAGATGAAATTCTGTGTTATCAAACGTTGTGCTGTTTTCGGGCAGACTTAAGAACCTTGATATGCAATTGTTTTTCAACGTTGCTTATAAACGGCAAGCCAATAAACCCAGCATTCCTTTTTTTTTAAAGGGGGGGGGGAGTTTAAAAAAAAGAAACTTCAAAGAGGTGATTTCATCTCAGGATAATTTCCTCCCGGCCTTGATCATTCTGACGACAAAACATTTGCACAAAATGTGCGCAGCAGCGGTGGAATGTCGACAATGTCATTTCAGTTCAAATCTCCAAAAAGAAAAAAAGAAAAAAAAAAGGGAAAGAAAGCTTTTGGGGATGTGCCAGAAAAAAAAAAGGGGGAGCTTGCCAGACCCAAATCCTGGGAAATTGAAACATGAGGGAATCTACTAGGGCTGAAACTTGGAACAGAAAAAGAACCGAGGCTGGCCTTCCAAAGTCTAATAAATCCTTCATGTACCTTTTGTTTTTTGTTTTTTTGCTTTTTTTTCCATTAAAGAATGCAGCGTTTCTAAGTTCAGAAGAAAAGATTCTTTTATCAGGCTTTAAGACAGTGGTTCTCAACCTTTCTAATGCTGCGACCCCATAATACAGTTCTCCATGTTGTAGTGACCCCCAACCACTTATACATCACTGGGTGCCAGGGGCGTGGCCAAAGAAAAGGGGGGGGGAAATGGCGGACAGCCTTGTTTGGCGACCCCCGTGAAATGGTCGTTCGACCCCAAATGGGGTCCCGACCCATAGGTTGAGAACCACTGCTTTAAGAGAAGAGCTTTGAAAATGAATGCATCCCTTCCCTAACAGATTAAGAAAGGGGATCACGTGACCCTGGGACACTGCGACTGTCATAAATAGGAGTCAGTTGCCAAGTGTCTGAATTTTGATCACGTGACCTGCAATGGTCATTAAGTGTGAAAAATGCTCCTAAGTCCCTTTTTTTCAGTGCCGTTGCAACTCTGAACGGTTACTAAACGAAATGTTTTAAGTCAAGAACTGGCTGTAGTGTTTCCCAGGCTCTGCAGAAATGTGAAATTTCCAACTCCCAGAATTCTCCAGCATGCTGGTTGCAGGACTCCCAGAATTCTGCAGACTGGGGAATTCTGGGAGTTGAAGTCTACACAGAGGCTGAGAAACAGGGCTCTAGCAGCTGAAGGCGGCTTAAGTGGGGCCACACCACAACTACTCTGTCTTGTCAAGCTTTCTTTCCCTCATCTTGCACCAACAACTTAACCACTACACTATCTTGCAAGGATCAGCCAGCTGAGTTCCAGATTCCAGAGAGAAGCAACTTAAGGAGAAATTTCCTGACAGGGAGAACAAATTAATCAGTGGAACAGCTTGCCACCAGAAATTATGAACATGGCGGTTTTTCAGAAGAGATCGGACAACCATCTGCCTGAAATAGCATAGGGTCTCCTGCATGAGCAGGGGGTTGGACTAGAAGACCTCCAAGGTCCCTCCCTTCTCTGTTATTCTATTATTCAACTCCCAGCATGCATTTCCTCGCACACAAGCCAAGCCCCTGCTCTGCTGCGCAAAACCGCAAACAGCCACTCAACATGTCAACCAAAACACACTGGAGGTTTTCAGCTTTCTAGCAAACCACCACAATGACACACCATCGCTAAGGTTTTATTTTTTTTTATTTTTTTTAAAAGGAACTTCTCTTTCTCTGTTGTTTCTGGGGAGAGTTATTGGGGATTTTAGGACTGGCTGTTCAAATAGCAAAAATGCTGCACCTGAAGAAAATCCGGAGAGCTTTATTAAAAGCAGCAAAGGGGCGCAGAGGCTGAAAGTTTACTGGGAGAGAGACAGCACGGCCAAGGATAAACCCGAAAAACCGGATGGGTTTGTATGAATTCTGTTGCCCTTTTCATTAGTTCCCACTGAAATAGGTGTCCTATCGCTGCCTATCCATTTTATCTACCCATTTTATCTATGTATCATCTATCCATCCATCTATCCACTAATCTATCCAAACTATCTATCCATTCCATACCGATATATCAATCATCTATCCATTCTATCTATCTATCTATCTATCTATCTATCTATCTATCTATCTATCTATCTATCTATCATTTATCTATTCATTTTATCCATCCATTTGATCTAGTTATCTCTCCCTTATCCATTTATCATCTATCTATCTATCTATCTATCTATCTATCTATCTATCTATCTATCTATCTATATCTATCCATTTTATCCATCCATTTGATCTAGTTATCTCTCTCTCCCTTATCCATTTATCATTCATCTATCTATCTATCTATCTATCTATCTATCTATCCATTTTATCCATCCATTTTATCTATGTATCTCTCTCTCTCTCTAATCTATCCTAGCTAGCTAGCTATCCTATCCTTCTATCTATCCTATGTATTTATGTATTGATCCATCCATCATCTATTTCTCTCTATACTCCCAGCTTGTTTTTCTGGGAACACCAGAAATCGGAGCCCAAAAGCAACAGCCTTCAGCATCGTCTCGAGTCCTCAATAAACACAGCTGCTTCTCCTTGTGGCCCCGAAGCTTCCATCCAATCCTGCCTGGAAAACTGTCAAAATGTCAGCCACCAGCCTGCACATGTTTTACTCTGTCTGCCCTTGTTAGCCTGCAAGAACATTCTCTGCCTTTTTCCCTGCAGAATGCCAAAGGCTCACTTAATTAACTCCTGCCCCGAGTAAAAATTGAAATGGGCAGTGGTTCGTTTAACAACGGTGGCAGGGAAGGTCGTAAAAAGGGGTGAAACTCCCTCGCTTAGGAACAGATATTTTGGCAATCTGGTTCAAAAACAGGTCACCGAGAGCCCTATGCCTCCCCCCATGCACCTCTCAGATGGATCAAGAATCTTCCTTTCCGTCTTGCAAAACAGTTCAAAAAGCCGGATTTCTGATTCTTACTTTATGGAAAAACAAACAAACAAACAAACAAAAAACCAACCGTCCTTCTTGGAATTTGAAGTAGTGAACTCAGCACTCCCTTATCAGCCATCAGGTATGAGGAAATACAGTAGCTACTCACAGAAGGCTCTTGTTTGAGATTCCAGACAGATGATCTGCAAAATTCTTCTCCTCTTCCCCCATTAAAAATTCCAATCACCTCTCCTTTATTTTGTTTTCCCTAAAAAAATTATTATTTTTTCCCCGCAAGTTCTCCCAACAATATCATAGCTAGAAGGGGCTGGTTTGGCTAAGCTACAACCGTCAGCTTAAATAGGGTCGCAGCAGCAACCCACCAGAAGCTCTCAAAAACTTGCATTTTTGTAAGCTATGCAGCCAAGGCTCAGGGCAAAAAAACCCCCCAACGTTAGTGGTTGATTACAAGAACAAAGCAAGCATTTAAGCCAGATTTATAGAGTCTGAAGAAACAGCCTTGGAAAACAGCCTGTGGTAAAAAGCAGGGATAGTATTGAAAATAAAATACAGCATCACCTTAGTAAATTTCCTTGCACATAAATTCGATTTTATTAAAAAGTCGCTAGTCCTCTTGAGGGTGTGAAAACTATCCTCCGACATCTGCCTTGGCACACTGTTGCAAAAATAATGAATCAACTGAACGACTTCTTTTTTACTGAACTCAGCAATGTGTACGCACTGTTTTTAATTTCTATTCCCCCCTTTTTTTATTAGAGTCCTTTAACTTTAAAATTGCTTTAGGAAAAAAAAGAAAGAAAGAAAAAAAAACTGAGCAGCAAGTGATGTGGAATTATCCAAACAACCACCAAGTAGAAGGCAGAGAAACCTGGATTCAGATATGACCACTCACCAAACCAGGATAGATTCCTGCATGGCTTTTAGAGAACAACTAGCCTGCATTCTCACACAGTGTTAAGTCAGATATAATTTATATCTTCACTTGCCTGGGATACTCACTCCTTACTTTAGCACAGATGAAACATTTTATTTTATTTTATTTTATTGATAAAAGAGAATATTTGACATGAGGAGCAACATTGAGAGGGCAAGCCACTAGAATATAACGTGAAACCAAATCCTGCTTTTACTAGCCCTGATGAGGTTACCTAGTTTGGTAATGAAATGTCTACAAGAATGAGAGGCATCAAGGACACCTTCCTCTTATTTATATATTGTGTGTATATGTTATACAGGTTTATAGGTTATGTTTATATGCCATCTCACCAACAAAGCAATTTGGGGTGGCTTGGGAAAAGATCATGGTTTATTTGCTTGGGAATGATATGTGCCATGAACCCAGCTTTGCTAACCAGGCTTAAAGTTAGCTCCCAGCTCCAGAGAGTTCAGTGCTGCAATGCACACTGCATGCCAGCGCATTACACACACACACACACACACACACACACACACACACACACACACACACGACGGAGGAAGGAAAGGAGCAGGTATCACCCAGGGGATGGTTGGGTGGGCTTCATACTCACCACGTCGTAATTGCTCGGGGCCCTGTTCCGGGAGGCGACGACGCCAACGCCGGTAATGGGGTCCATAGGCACGTTGGCCAAAGCATCGGTGAGCTCTCTAACCTCTGGCATGGTGGACGGATCCTGGAAGACGAGAAGAGTTGGGAGGTAGAGACAGGTCAGAATGCAAATTTATAGACTGGATGCATCGCAAGAACCAATTGTACGGGCTGGGACCTTGTCTGCAATCGAAATATTCTTAAAAAAATATTTTAAGAATGGCATTTAACCTCCCCACCCACCCTTGGTCCCAGCCAAAATAATACCTCCAAGCAGTATAACAACAACAACAACAACAAAAAGGATTTCCAAGCATCATTTCATGATTTTTTTTTAATTTTCCAGAACTAAAATAAGAGAAGTGTTTTATTTATTTATTTAGGGAATTTATAGGGCTGCCCGCTCGCTTTTGGTGGCTCTAAGTGGCTTGCAAATATACCCACTCAATTACTTCTACTCAAATCTCATCTGCCTGGAGATTTGAAAGTGACTGGGCCAGCAGCCACTGGGGAAAGGATTGAAGCTTAAAGAGCTGAAACTCCTCTAGAGTTCTAGAATTCAAGAGTATTTATGTTATTCTGGAATTCTTCTAGAGTTCCAGGGCTCCTAGAATTCTGGAGTTTGTTTATATTATTCTGGATTTTTTTTGCTAAAGTTCTAGTTCTTCTGGAATTCTAGAGTTCATTTATATTGTTTTGGTCCAGGTGGAAGGCTAGATGTAAAATAGATTATTTCTCCCCCACCCAAGACTGGTATTGTTAGCACAAATGGAAGCTTTAATCTCTCCCATTCAGCCTTCTGCAGGAAGGAAGGAAGGAAGGAAACGTGGTTTCTGGATCCTGGACTGTTTAAACTATTTAGGCCGTCACTGAGCTACTGACTTTGCAATTCACACCAACCTCTGTCCCTGTATACATTGATGCCCTCCCACAATTCCTCTATGCACATAAAAGCATGTCTATATTCCTAGAAAGGGGCTCTCCCGCCCCAGGCTTCTGAGGATGCCACCCACAAACAACACAATCAAGTATGACCGTTTGAAGTTACAACAGCACTGAAAAAAGTGACTTGTGACCGTTTTGCACACCGCTACAACATCCTCAGGGTCACGTGATCAAAATTCATAACATATTCACTCATATTTATGACAGCTGCAATGTCGTCAATGCAACTTATGACCATTGCGAGCTACACCACACTTTTTGGAATATTGGCCGTTAACCCCCCCACCACTCCCCATCAGCTATATTAAAACATTAAGTTAAAGACAGCTTTGTGATATCCTGGATGTCAAGACCTAAACCAGTAGGCTGCATATCAGGTATGCTTTTAATTGTTGTTTTACTGAATACACAATTGGTTGATTTGTACACATTGCAACTTGCTACAGTGGCATTTGGTAGTGTTTACTTTCATGGCTCTATATTACGATTTAAAGGCAACATTCCCCTGTCACAAACAAGGAAACTATATTGCAGCTTAGCAGGTTGACTGAAGGAGCCTGTAACTAATTTACAGGCAACATATTGCTTATTTCCAATATAGATTGATTGCTAACTTGTCACAAATCCATCAGTGGGTCACTACCTTATATTGTAGCCCTTCCTGGCTTGACATCAGCTTTTCTTGGGGGAAAAAAATGAACTGTAGCCCTTGTTAACCTAACCAGTAGCATTAACGGATAACAATAACAATAAAATAAAATAAATAAACACAGCTAGTAAAGATACTCTGTTCCTGTTGTTGAGTCAGTGTGTCAACACACAAATGCTTTCAGCGTCTCAAGGGCAATGCTGCACATTTGTAATGCAATTTCTAGGGAACGGGGTGGGGAAAAGCTCTTTCCGCCCCCTCATTTAAAGGCTCTCTTCCTTGTTTGAACTAGGGACCCCCCCACACACTTTTTCAAACTGCCAGTCTTATGTTTAAGCGTGGCAATGGGAATTGCCAGCGATGGGAATCCTTTGCAGGGTCGGAACTAAGAAAGCAGAGAGACTGGAGCAGGGGGGTTCAAACCGGAAGACACCCCACCTAGGTGCCATTTCAGGGGGGAGCCGGGGTGTGTGTGCGTGTGGGCAGCCCAGCATGCAAGAAACTGGGGTTATGCAAGGGAGCTTCACAGCTTTAAGCGTAGAAAGCCGCTTTAATGCAACAAAGCAGAGGGGGCTGAGCTCCGGGGTCTGCTCCCAAACACAAGGGGCTTTCAGGCATTCCCCCCCAATCCCCCACCCCAAAACAGCATCAGGAAGCTGGCGGATGAAGAGCAGGCGTGCCTCCCTGGGTTGTGGTCGTTGATTGGCTGGCAGAGATTTTTTCTCGCCTTGCACTGAAAAAGGAGGGGGGGCACAAGACAAAGCCAGCCCCTTGTTCTGAATCTTTGCAGGGGTTCCCCCCTCTCTCTAGGCCCTGAATAAGGGAGAGGGCTCCCCCCCCTTTAAGAAAAGGGGGAAGAAACGGGGAGACTTACCTGCCCCCCCTCATGTACACTCTGCAACAAGCCCGAAGCGCGGCTTACAAGGCCTACGCGCTCCTTTCCCCGGTTTACAAGGGGGGGGAAGGGTTCCCCCAATGCACCCCAAAAGGTGCATGTGGGGAAAGGGAAGCGGGGGGGAGAACTGGCAGGAGCGCAGGGGGGAGGGGGCGCAGGGCCCAGCCCGGGATGGGGGAGCAATGGAGGGGAGTGGGCAGCCAGGCCTTTTGGTGGTGGTGGTGGTGGGGAGACACTTAACTGTTGCTGGTGGCGGCTGGTGGCGGCTCCCCCGTTTCAGGCAGAAGCAGCTTTTCATTGCCCGGCAGGGCGGGGACCGGAGCGGAGGAGGAGGAGGAGGAGGAGGAAGGGGAGAAGAAGAAGCGGCAGCGGGTGGGTGGGAGGGAAGAAGAGGCCCGGCGGGGCCCGCAGGAGGCGACGGTCCTTACCGGGCGTGCAAGCGCGAGGCCCCCCAGCCCCGGGCAGATCCCAAGCGGAGCAGCCCGTCAGCAGCCGAGAGCGAGGGCGGAGGAAAGCGGCGGCCGAGGCGAGCTGACACCGCCTCCCACCCAGCCGGGCGCCGCTCCGACGAGCCGCCGCCGCCGCGCTCGCTAGAGCACAGAGCCCCCTGCCTCCCGGAGCCCGCACTGCCGCCGCCGCCGCCTCGCCCGGCCTCCGCCTCGCCGCCCACCGGCCCCAGGCAGAAGCGGCGCGGCCAGCCGCAGCTCCTCCGCCCGGCCGGCCTCGCTCGCCGCGCGCCGTGGGCGCACCGGGCACGCCAAAGCCTCTCCAAAGCGCGCCCGGAGCGCGCCAGGCGGGCTGCGCGAGGAAAGGAGAGCCACCGCCCCCCCCGCCCGGCCCATCCGCCGGGCCCCGAGCGGGAGCGCGCGTGCTCGAACCCGCGCCCGCTTTGCCGCCAGGATAGGAAAGGGGGTGGCGGGGGGGGGGCATTGATCCATCTATCTTCTATCATCTATGTATAGCTATATCTGTCTGTCTGTCTGTCTGTCCGTCCGTCCATCCGTCCATGCACCCACCCACCCACCTATCCATTCTATATCTACCATCTATCCTCTATCATCCATTTCTATCTATCTATCTATCTATCTGTCTGTCTGTCTGTCTGTCCATCCGTGCACCCACCCACCTATATCTACCTATCATCTATGTCTATCTATCTATCTATCTATCTATCTATCTATCTATCTATCTATCTATCTATCTATCTATCTATCTATCTATCTATCTATCATCCATCCATCTATATATATCCAGGATGCGAAAAAAATAATTAAACAGCAATATTTCTGCTACTTTTCCATCCCTAGTAAATATTCTAACCAAGGTATAGGAATTAATGTAAACCACAGTTTTTCAAGCACTTCTGTATAACTTGTAGCCATTCCACTTTCTCCTCTCAAATGCAACTGTCTTACTTTGCTATATTAAAGGTCAGCTAAATACACCACACGGTCACTTGTTGCATCATATAATCTGTCTAACATTTGCTGCAAATTACTCAGATTGTCTGCCAACAACACAGCAGCACTGTACACAGGCCCATTCACATCTCTGCCAACACAGTTTTGTCATCACCACAAGCATTCCTTGTATTTCTTTCCCCCTCCCGCCACCTCCCCAACGTAATAATTTTTTCCCCACTCTTGTTTTCCATAATCATCTTTTCTCCCAAGATCCAGTCTTGGCATTGCCCAAATATGGCCTGTCCTATGTGCGGATCCTCTCATCCCTGTATATCTCCTATCAATCCTCTCAAGGGACATCATAATTGACCAAATCAATAAATGCATTTTGAAGCTTATTCCTTTATGTAGGCCTATAAACAGACTTAACACTTAAGCCACATATACAAAGCACACAGATCCATTCTCACCCATCCTTGAGTCTCCAAATGGTCTAAATCAGGGGTAGTCAACCTTGGCTCTTTTATGATTCGTGGACTTCAACTCCCAGAATTCCTGAGTCAGCACAGCTGGCTCAGGAATTCTGGGAGTTGAAGTCCACGAATCATAAAAGAGCCAAGGTTGACTACCCCTGGTCTAAATAAAACACCTTTTCGGTAATATGAACACATTATTATTGTAAGCCAGCCATGGGTGTTTTACGATGGGCAGATATACAGATATTTTAAATAAATAAGAAGAATAAATACACAGTGCTACATTACAACAAAGAAGGTCCATTGTGGCATTGCAGAATGTGTGAATGCAGCAAGCTGACATATTTTGCTTAGGGTTGTTGAACAAATCATAGTTGGCGAGCTTTTTAACTTGACTGCACTGCCAGGAGAAAGCCAGGGTAAAACAGTTGCATATTATAGGACACCATAAACCCGAATTCCCACCATGGAAGAATGGATGGTAAAGATGATGGAGCTAGCAGAGATGGTGAAATTGATTATTTTAAATTTAAAAAAAATGTATCTAGTTTTGTTTCTGCTTTGAAATTGCTTCTAGACTTTTTGCTCAAAACTGGAAAAAATGAAACTTTGATTTTAACGTTTCAATGATTAGAATAATTTTGTAATTTTAGAAATGTGGTAAAATGTAAAGCCAAAGGGTTAAGGTTGTATTATTTTTGAACTCTTGTCGCAGGGAAGAAATTCAGAAGTCTTCCTCCTCTCTTTGCCCTTTTTTCTCTTCTTATTTGTCTGCTTTTTTTTCTGACTTTTTCTAGCTTATTTTTCTAATAAGAAGCTTATTATGTTTCTAATAAAACTTCTAGCTTTGTTTCTTCTGTATTTTTATTTGATAATAAAATTTAATTTTAAAAAATATATATTTTTAAAAAGGAGACACTATAAATCCTGATGTCCCCAGAAGCTGAACTTGATTCAAGAGAGATTTTAGTTCACCCAACTCAGAATAACAGAATTAAAGAATTAAAAGAGATGGAAGGGGCCTCAGAGGTCTTCTAGTCCAACCCCCACTTAAGCAGGAGAGCCTATACCAGTGATGGCGAACCTTTCAGAGAGCGAGTGCCCAAACTGCAACCCAAAACCCACTTATGTATCGTTGGGTGCTGGGTGGGCATGGTCCATTGGGTGGGCATGGCTTTGGTGATAACGGCAGACTGGGTGGGACTAAAAAGTTCAATCAATCAATTCCAACTTTGCGAGATCTTTTTTTTCCCATGAGAAGTTGAAATTGATTGATTGAACCTTTGTTTTTTTGTGGTTTTTTTGCAAATGGCGGCGGAGGCCTAAAGCGAAAAGGTTTTATAAAACCCAGCTGAAGGCCTAGGAATAGGGCGATGGTGCGCGTGCCCACAGAAAGGGCTCCGTGTGCCACCTGTGGCACGCGTGCCATAGGTTCACCACCACGGGCCTATACCCTTTCAGATAAGTGGTTGTCTGAAAGAAGAGAAAAACAGAATCAAGTACATGCCTCCAATCACAAAGATGGGTGAAAGGGGGGAAAAAAATTGAATTCTGAAGCAAACTGAGAATGAGGTTGCAAAACAGAAGCCTGTCCTACAAGGATGGAAACTTTACAAAGATTGGAAAACAGGTTGTTGTGACACAGGTCGGGCAGCTAGTCTTCAGGAATGGACAGCTCCCATTTTTTCATTGCCACAATCTGACTTAATTTCTACTGCTCCCTATAATTATATGGAATTTAGCCTGTTTTCTCAAACCTAAGGAAACCCTTCAGTTCCTGGGCTGGCCTTGGACTTCACTGGGATGCAAAGAGATGTCCAATTCCCCTCCCCAAAAAAAAACTAAAAAAAATTAGCAATGTGCCGTTTACAAAGTCCTCCGAGAAAAAAAACAGGTCACAAAAGGGGATCACCTGACCCCCAGGACCCTGGGACTGTCACAAATATGAACAAGTTGCGAAGTGTCTGAATTTTGATCACGTGACCTTGAGGATGCTGCAATGGTCATAAGTGTGAAAAACGGTCATAAGTCACAGTTTTCAGTGCTGTTGTAACTTGGAAGAGTCGCTAAACGAACATAAATTCAGGGCTACCTGTAATATATCAGGCACTTCCTGGAGAAAATGGAACTCTGATCGTTGGCTTACTTATCTGCCAGTCTCAGATGTGACTGGTTAGTAGCTGCTTGAGTTGAATGTGTTGTGGGAATGCAGCCACAGAGCAGGGCCAAATTTCCCCATATCCCATAATCCTAAATAACCACAGCAGCAGTTTGGACTGGAGGACCAAAAAGGCTGTCCAAATCTATTATTCCACAATAATGAGGAAGCCACAAAAGAGAATATTGGTTTTGCTTTGTAAAAAAAAAAAAAAAATTCTCTCTCATTCCAGCTTGGATTAATGACAGAAGCCTCTTCATTAACGGCTGCCGGGCCATCAATTAGAATTTAATGGCCAATTTTGATCCCCAGCCTCTTTTCTGAGCAACGGCTTGGAGGCTGACACCTTGGTTCTGATGCCCGCTCTGCTCTTCTCAAAGAATCTGGAAAGGATGCCAACTTTAACACAAAGAAACGCTGAATTTCCCCCTTCTTTTCCAGCCTGGTGGCAGCTGATACCAAACAAGGGATGGATTTTAGAGCGGGCTCCTCCATTTTTAGCCAACCACTAGGCTAACCTTGAATTCTCTTGTCAGATCTAATCCCCTTTTTCGCTTTTGGAGCAGATGTGGGAACCAAATTCAGAAGTGGCCATGCACGCCGTCTGCCCGGTAAGGTTACTCTGACGCCGTATCGTAAGGTTACTATTTATCTAACGCGAGCAGGGTTGGCGCACACATCTGGCGCCTGGCACTTACTGCAATTATTTATGATTTCCACCAAGATTTAAAAGCTCATCGCCGGCCTTGTAATGCAGTAACTGATTGCACGGCTAATGTAATTAAGGGGAGATGATGATGTCCACGTGGCGCAGCAGATGGTGGCATTCGTTGCAATTGACAGTGCACAACTGGCAGGCAACTGCACAAGGGCAGTGAGGCCCTGGCAGCTGGAGCCTTCATCACCGTTGGCCTGGAAATAAAGGCAAGGTGGGAGAAGAAAGGAAGGAACAAAAGGATCTAGAGATTGATTATGTGCCGTGAAGAAATGGTTGCCTTTGGGGACCACCTAGACAGAACGTCCCCTAGATGTCTTCATCTTGGTCCTTAAGGTTTTCCCATGGTACATCCTTTGCTGCTCTAACTGAGTCCTTGCACCATGTTGCTGGTCATCATCATCATCAATCATCATCATAGTTGGAAAAGTCCTTGAATGTCTTCTTGTCCAACCTTGTGCTCAAGCAGGAGACCTTATACCATTTCAGACAAGTGGCTGTCCAGTCTCTTAAAAGAGACTCCAGTGATGGAGCACCCACAACTTCTGAAGGCAAGCCGATCCGCTGGTCTGATTTCACAGTCAGAAAATTTCTCCTTTATGCTTCTCTCCTTGGTTAGTTTCCATCCATTGCATCTTGTCTTGCCTTCAGATGCTTTGGAAAATAAGTTGACCAAAGCACCAGAAGACAATCTTCTTCTCTTTCCTTTCATCTATCCCAGGATTGTAAAGTTATAAAGATTATAGATATTATGAAGCACCAGAAGGTCGACGTCTTCTCTTTACTTCCACTACCCTAGGATTCTATGGCTTGTATGGACAGAAATTGATTGTATACCACCAAGTCATTGACCACATAGATACATCTTCTCCTATATGTCTTCAGTTTGGTCCCTCAGGTCTTCCAGTGATGCACTCATGCCGTCCCGAGTCCATCCATCTTTGGAAGCCATACTTTTTCTGCACAGATTATTCCCAAATCTGG